TTTTTATTTATCAATTTTTGTATTTACAAAAAAAGAATTTTTTTTTTTTTTTGTATTTTTATGCTTAGGTTTCAGCATATATTTGATATAAAAATATCTTAAATCTCTTGATTTAATATATTAATTTAATATCTATATACAAACACAAAAAGTATTAAAATTTAATAAAACAAATGAAAAATTATTACTCTGATATTTGGAGATAGATTTTTGCATTTGCGAGCACACATATCTTGACATTCTTTTTGAGTTAAAAGTCGTAATCCACACAAAAATAAACACCTATCTATGCATGAAACTCCTTTTACTTCTTCTATCATTGCCGTCGTTATTATTGTCATCACCATCATTAAAACAATGCAATTTTTGATACTCATCTTTGTAAAACTTTTAGTATAAAATATTATCTATATGTTCACTAAATTTTTTTGTATATATATATATATATATTTATATACACAGACAAAAAGTAGTTAATTCAAAAAGATGAAAAAGATTCAACATCTTTTAATTTACATCATTTTTAGCAATAAATCATGTCATTTAATAAATCATTAAACTAATTCAACTGTTGAATTAAAAAATTCAAGATTTCATTGTAATTAGTCTTAACAACTAATCCTAACATTAATGAAATCACACCACATGGCATTGTCTCTCTACATCCTTTTTCTGATTCAACACTCATTCAACTCATCCATTAAGACAATTGAATAGTTGAATCTTTTTTCAACATACCATTTCAACACCCAAAATTAATGTTGATAGTCAATTGGTGACATTTTTCTTAAAAAGGTAGTACATTTTGTTATATGTATTGTTTAAAAATATAATACTATTATATAAAAAATAAAAAATATATTATTTAATAAAATAACATGATTTGTTTTTCCTAACAACCCGAGTGATTTTGCAAATAACATTTTACACTTCAACTATTTAATATTTACTATTTTTTAGTATTTCTTAGGAAGTGTGTTAGGTGAATATATATATTTGACCATAAAATTAAATATATAGAAAAGAAATATTAGTAGTAAAAATGTTAATAAATTAGTTACATACTAGGTGTTAGTCCACACATACATGTAATGTATGAGATTTCTATTTAAAATAAACTAATTATAGTATTTAGATTTATCATTTACAATAAACTAGGATTTACCCGCTCTACATGCGTGATAATGTTTTTGAAATTTATTAAATTTAAGTTTTATTTAAAGTTTAGTTTTTTTTCTATATTATTAATATATTAGTTGAATATGTTTGTTGTATGATTTAATTGTTTGTTGGAATGAGAATATTGTATTATTTGTGAATGGTATTTAGGTTTTGTTTGTGCGTGATATTTGTTTTAAATTAGTAGTTTTGTATTTATAATTATTGTATAGTTTGTCGATTATATTTTGTTATAATTGAGAATGTGATTTAAAATCGGATAGATTTATAATTTGTAAGAAAAAAAATTGATAATTTGATTATATAAAACAAAATATGAAATTCAAATGATTGTTAGTTGTTTTTACAAAATAAGAAGTTAGGTAAGAAATTTAAAAAATTCAACAAACATAGTTGATGGATGTGAATAATTTGTATAATGCATCTATGCAACCCGAAAATTTCGATATATTTTAGTTACAGATTTATGAATAGAGGATTTAGTATTTTTTTATCAAGCTTTTATCTCGTCAAAATAATCCTATTACATAACTTCTGTCTCAAATTTTGATTTCCTAAAATAAATTATTGTATGAGATGTTTATTTTGCTATAGATGTATTGTATTTCGGTTAATAATATAGAAACCATTAAGTTTTATTTTTGGCATACATTTATTACATACATTAATAAATTTTAATATACCATGAATTTGTGTTAGTATTTTCTAATTTGTTTTCATTTATATATTATTGATTCAACCCGAAAATATTTGTTATACTTGAGTTAGTTAGGTTAATGAACAAAATTATTTTTTATCAAAAATTTCATCTCGTCAAATTCATCCCGTTACATTCTATTTCTGATCTTGAATTTTGATTTCATATAGAAATACATTTATATATAAGATTTACTATATTTTGTGTTTTGTATAATGTATCTATACAACCCATAGATAAAACTACATTTGAGTTAAGTAGGTTATGAATAGAATTATAGTTTTTTTTAATTCAAATTTCATCTCGTCAGTATCCTCCCATTACATTCTACTCTGATCCTGAATTTTGATTTGCAAGACAAATACAATTTTGTATACGATGTATTATTTTGGTATGTATTTTTTTTATAATATAAAACCCCATTATATTTTACTTTTGGTATACATGTATCATATATTGCGCTAAATTTTAACTTATTTGTTTTCACTTTCTATATTTTAATCCCATTAAATATAACTAATTTTTATTTATCCCATATCGTTTTTAAATTTTAAGAAAATATAAAAGCATTCAATAACTATAAGATAGATGTAAATAATTTCTATAATATATCTATAGTTCTATACACCCCGGAAAAAAGCACATGGGTGCAGGTTCTATGTTTCATTTAAATTAGATTTTCAGAATATAAAAGATAGATAGAAATAATTTGTATAATATATCTATACAATCCGCAAAAATGCACATGAGTGCGGGTTTCATGTTTCATTTAAGTTTGATTTTCAGAGATTTTATATATTTTCATGTACTATGAGTCATTTATAATTAAGATGATGTTATGTATGATTTAGTCCGCCCTACACAGGGTTATGTTTTTGAGATTGTGCAAATTTATATATTCTTTAATTTTTTAAATTTATATTTAGTAAAAGGTTTAGTTTTAAAAAACAATCATGGTAGAGTATGTTTGTTGTATAAATTAATTGATTGTTGGAATTAAAAAGTTATATTTTAAAAGTTTTATTGATTTATAAATCAAATACAATACTTTCAAGTTTTAAAAGAATACTAGGTATTTACCCGCACTATGCTGCGAAATATTTTTTAAAATTTTGTACATATTTTTAATATAATAAAATTATTTTTATAATGTATATGAGTATTATATTTATTTTTTATTATCTTATGTTATATATTTATATGTTTTAAATCTGAATAAACATTATATACTCTTTTTTTTTCAAAATTATAATTTGCTATCAAATTTAGTTAGCCAACTAATTATAAATGTATATATAGGAATAAAATATATAAGAATAAAGCAATACATTTTTAGTACATTCATGCTAATGGCAAATGTAATCTATTTTCTCCAATAAATTACCACATGATCCTCATTTGTAATTATATAAAGCAAAATGCCATTTAAAAAAACGATTTATTAATTAATATGATTATTTTGAATTATAAAATTTATTTATTTATCAAATATTTTATTATAAACATATGCTTCTAAAACTACCAAACTATAATCAATAACATTCATATCAAAACCATTGTTATTGCTTTAGAACTAAATAGAAAATTATGTTTGAACTCTTAAAATATCATTTTAGTTAAAGTTAAATAATTAAATTTTGGTTACTGTAAACATACTTTAATTTGGAAATTTAGCACAGAGAAATTTCATCTTCTTACAGAAATCGAGAAATTGCATTTCCTGTCAAAACCTAAAAAAAACTTCATTTTCCCATTAAACTGAGAAATAGGTTATTCCCGCCAAAATCAAAAAATTTATTTTTTCGTCAAACCTAAAACCTAAAATTTTAATTTCCCGCGAGAACCTGTGTTTTTCTACCAAAGCCGAGAAATTACGTTTTTCACAAAAACCAAAAAATTTCATCTTCATGCAAAAACCAAAAAAAATTGTATTTTCTCGCCAAAATCGAAAATTTTATTTTTCCTGCGAAAACTAAGAAATCGTCTATTCCTGCAAAAAAAAAATCATTTTCTCGTCAAGCCCAGAATCACGCTTTCCTATAAAAATAAATAAACTGCAATTTCCCGCGAAATCAAAAATTGCATTATCTCCCGTGAAATTGTGTTTTCTCGCGAGAACTAAAAAATTGTTATGTTTTTATCGGTTCAGATTTTTGCTGATGTGTGAGCTTCTTATAACATAAGTTTTTTTGCGTTGTTGTCATGGAATCATAGTTGATATTGAACCTACACTTTTTTCAATCATATACGTCTATGTCAAACAAACAGATAGCTAGATTTTTTTATTATTATTTATTTATTGTTATTTATTATTTGGATTTGATTTTGGCAAAAAAAAAATAAACAATGATTTAATTTTTTTATTTTTTATTTGGTTTTGGATTTGGCAAAAAGTAAAATAGTAATTTTTTTATTTGCTGTTATTAATTATTTGGGCTTGAGTTTGGTTAAAAATAAAACAAAAATTAATAGAAAAAATATTTGGATTTTTAATGGGTTTAAGTTTAAAAATTAAAACAAGTAGATGAGATGTATTAATAAAATATTTTAATTGGTGATTATTTTTGCTGAAGTATCATGTTTATAAAGCTTTAAAAAGCTGATGTGTCAAGTCATGGAGAGACTTTGATGTTATTGTTGTATTGATAGATTATTGGTCAATTATATTATTTGTATAATATATTAATATCTAACACAAAAATTAAAATATATTTGATAAACTCTTTTTAAATAGAATAATTAGTTCTATTAAACAATTATTTTAAATTTTCTTTTTAGATTTTAGAGATGTTTTTAATTATTTTGAATACTAACAAACAATATTAATTCAAAACATTTACGTTAACTCTGTTTAAAATAACAATAGAAATAGAAGTATGAAAATTTAGGATATATCCTGCAGATTTGTGTGGGTTAGATATTTATTTAAAAATGTAAAATTTCGATGTATTAAAATTTTAATTTTAAGATTTTTAATTTAATTTGTATGATTTGTATGAAAAATTTAATTTGATTTTTAATTTTAAAGTTAGAACCAAATTTGCAGGATTAATTGTTTCCGGTTTAGAGGACAATTAAATCGCAAACCAGATCGAGACCTGGTCGAAGAGTCACCCAATTTTGTTTTTGTTTCGTGATTTCACCAATCTCTCTCCGTAAAAAACATAGATCCCGTTAACCCTCTATCTCTTCTCCATACCCACCTTCAACCTCTCGTGCAAAAACCTAGAACCACCCTCTCTGCCGTGACCTCCGCATGTCCAACACCCTCGACTAAACCCCCTCCGCCGACTCGACTAAATCAATCACTCTCGCTCCTCAGTTTCTGTGTATCGCCACTCTATGTTCCTCTTCATCGTCCATCTTTTTCAATGGCTGATCTGGATGCTCCTCAGATTAAGTCGAGGTACCACGACATGCAATTATCAGGTGCTTGAATTCGAACAGCTTTTTGTCATCTTTTGGTTTCCAGATTTAGAGTCTAAGTAAGCGATTCTAATTTTAATTGCTTCATATTTTTCAACAAAATTCTTGTTAGATTCATCCCGAATAGGATATTCTTTGAATTAGGGATCTTCGATTCGAACCACAACTTCGATCCAAAATTTCAGTGAGTTGTATGCCTCTTTTGTGATTCTAAAAAAGAGTCGGCTTGATGGTTTGGAAATTTTTAGACTTTTTTCTGCAGTTGAATGCATCTGAAGATAGAATTACCGATTATAGAATGAGCTCACATGTTTCTCAAAGTATAAAAGCTTTCTACAATAACCGACAATACTATATATATATAATAGCTTTAGTGAAACTATTTGAAAGTATAAACTCTTTTTCTTTGTGCATGAGCCTTTTACATACTCGTAAACGAACATTTACTCACAGAATAACATGATTTTCATGCCAAGAAGCCTATGAGACTTCAAATGAACCTGAAAATGGAACGTGATTTACTTGCGACTACTATAAAGAAACTGAGATGTGATGTGGCTAAGGGGCTTATACTTTCCTCTGTGTTTATTTTTGTTGTAAGTATATAAACAGAAAATTTTATTGATTCATTCTCTAAGTAATGAGAACGCTTTTGTAAGTAAGATAAATTAGTTTTAGCAACTTCTCTTTGTATGTAAACAATGCTGCTTTACTATCAGTTTATTTTTACAGTTAAACGAAATCTCTTAGAACCTTGTTTCTTATGTTTCTCTTTACTTGGTGTTTCTAGGATAGTGAAGAGACTTAGAATACCAGATGAAAAGATAATTCTGATGCTGGCTGATGATATGGCTGTAATGAATATCCTTTTAAATCACAAACTAACCGGTACGGAGAAAACGTTGAGGTAAATTTCACTCACTGAACCCATCATGTAGTAGTGAATGTTCTCTCTTCAGTATGTATATTAGATGCATCTGCATCACAGTCTTTATATATAAGAAATGAATCCGTGCCTAGCGAATCCTCTATGCGCTGCATCAAACTCATAAATAGTATTAGAAAATTTTACATATAAGATATACTCTTGCTATCTCTTAAGATGTCGAGTCTGATTCATGTCACCTTGGTTATATTTTCAGATTTTGCGTTGTAATAGGTTTTAAGCAGTGAAGTATCACTTCAAGAAACAGGTCAGTTTGTTATCTTTTAAGATTGTATCATTTGAATGATTTGATCTGCAAAAGGACCCATAAGGTACAACCTAGACGCATGTCCGTGAGTACATATGAAAACAAATTTACATTAGTAAATACTGCCTTTTAACTAATCTCTAAATAATAGACCACATGACTTTGACATATTCAAACAAATTTAAATCTCTAAAAAGGGTTTTGCTTACTGCTCATCTTGAAGTTCAAAGTCAATCTTCTTTGCCTCGTAGTTATTCACTTGAAATGTGTCAAGATGTCCCACATTTACAGCTTGGCCAAGAACATCTTGCATAAATAAGAACATTTAGTTATAGACAGTTGAGGAATCATATTGTGTAGTTAAACGCAAAAGACGAAGTACAAACCACATAAAATGCTTACGATAGTTTCTGCAACCAAACTAATACGGTAACAATGTTTGTTAGTCCTGTATTAAGGTGTTGGTTTTTTTAACAGAAGCATGAATTTTCGTCCACTGTTAAAGAAAAATTAAAAATGTATTAGATGTTTCAATAGTTGTATAAAGAATATATTATGTATAGAGATTATAGAGTTATACCATCTTAAGAGATTGTCCTGATGCGAAAGCTAACTGTTTACATATGTACAGGTATATGTCCCGTCTTCTTTGAAAGAGTCTCTCAAGTCATTAAACAAATATTCCCACTTCAATGAGTGTGTTGCAACTTCATATCCTCAGGTAACAAAATTTGAAAACTTACTAAGTAAAGAGTTATGTTCTCTGCTTTTTTTTGGAATTTCCAGTTTGTGTTGTCCATTTTATAAAAGCATATATAGGAATCCAAGGTGCCAAATGAAAAGGTCAAAGTTAGTGTAGTTCGAATATTAGTTAAACAATCACCAGACTTAGTCTTGGCAAAAGTCATTATGAAAATTAAAAACGTAAAAATCTATACTTGTAAAAATGCATTTTCAACTTCATCTTATTAAAACAAAGATCTTAAGGAAGCTTTCAGCCTTCAAAGAGTTTATTCTTTCTTAGCCTTTTTATTTTTTGAGAAGCAAATTTAAACTCTCTTCTCACGAATCCTCTCAAATTGAAGCCACTCGTCTCTATTATTAAGAATAAGTGGCTTCTATTCTACTAATGGTTCATAAATATGTAGATGGTGATGTATAATATAGGGTCTGACTGGTATGTCAGAATAGCGGAATAACTGAAAAATTACTAGCGGAATGAACTGAACTGAATAATATTTTAACTGAATAATTGTGAAACGCTGAAAAGCTACTTTAGTAGATTAATCACATTTTGTTTTTTTAGTTATATTTTTAACACGCTAGCGGAATCACGTTTCAAAAACATAAAAAAATGTGAAAACGTGATAAATAATATTTATGGTAAAAAATAACAGAATCAAGTTTCCAAAACGTGAAAACGTGAAAAAACTGCATACCATTCAAACCCATAATGTTTTATATAGATTGGATAGAATGTACCTTCTTATCGACCAAAGCCATTTCAAAAGTCTCTCCTGATTTGGATACGTACTGTTTCGATGTATGCATAACCTGTTTTAGAAAGGCTTGTCTTTTAGAAAGGAAATGGGAAGAGGTACAACCATATTTTCAAAGCTGTGGTATGAATGTTGATATTATCGTTATGCTATTTATACACAGGTTGTTTATACCGTCTCTCTTAGGTCAAGTTAGTTTTTACACGGGCTATTTATACACAGGCTGTTCAGTCCAAGTTTTTATTCAAAAATCTTGTTAAGTTTAGTAAGAAGTTTATGAAAAAAATATTAATGATCAGAAGTTGCATAAATATTGGCGAGATTTACGAAATCGAATAACACATAGGCATATTCGAAATTCTCCGAGATATTTGCGAGTTAATATAGGTGTGTTTTCCTTCTGTAACAGGTGGAAGAATAGAAGTTGCAAACCACAATTAGTATGTTGGTTTGATTCAAGTCGGTTTGATTTAAGTGACAATTAGATCCGCGTCTTTTGTAAGTGGGTCTCGGGTCGGATTTTTTTATTTGGACATAGACCGAGTCATGTAAACTGAGTTAACTCAGTTGACTCGCCTGTTTTGTCCTTGCATATAACTGTTACCAAACACATTACATAATGGTATTTGTCGTAAATACATTGTTTTTAGAGTATTTCAAAAAACGGTTTCTCAAATAATATTATAGAGATAAACATCTCGCACAATTGAACAATACATAAACATAAACTAATTTTGCATAAGTGGTAAAATTTACGATTATTATTTTCTAACTTATATGTATGTATGATTTAATATATAAGATAATATATTAAATATTTAATTGTTATATTAAAAATTAAGTGTCTGTTTATAACTTTGATATTTGAGTTAGTGACATAACGTTATGCCTAATATGATCAAGTCAATATAATTTCATGATTTAATAATTGATTAACAAAAAAATTTGTCAGTTAAATGAATCGCACAAAAGATAATGTTTAAAGTAGCTGAAATTTGAAAATTTCATATTTAAATGTACATTTTCCCATATTCACTCCCTATTTTATGGTTATTGCCTTTAAGAAAAATAGAACTAAATTGCCAAAAAGAAATATCATCTTATGCTATTTTGACTAGACATGGATGGAATACGATAAATATCATTTTACGAAAAACAAAAAGCTTTAAAATAAAAAAAAAATAGTCAATTAATCTGTTATGTTCTCATCAAACATTATTTTAAACCGTAAAAAGTTGAATGTTTGGTGTTTGTGAAATAAGAAAGAAACCAATCTATATAACAATATGATGTATCCAATAACTTTAGTCTTGTATCCAAAAACTTTAGTCTTCTATCCAAACTTTTTTAAGACAATTTATTTTCGACGAGATTTATTTTTTCTATTACATAGCAGAGACTATAATATTAGTTTAAAAATGAGTTTGACTACAAATATATTAATTATGTTATCGATGTATCTGCTCATTTATATTTTTCATTCTTATAGTCTCCATATCCTGCAATTGTTTGATAAAAAACTATGTCAGTTTATCTATATATACAACATAATAAAATATATCTATATGAATGTGGTTTTTTCAATTATAGATATTCAAGTTTATATTTGTATTTACTAGTCAAAATCCTTTTTTTAACCACAATATTTATAATTATCAAAAAATTTGTATATAAAACAAATATATTTTTCATGTGTTTATGCTTAGGTTTCAACATATATTTGATAGAAATATATTTTAAAGACAATCATATTAATTTAATATTTAAATAGAAACATAAAAAGTAACCAAATTCAATAAAATAAGTGAAGAAATTATTACTCTGATACTTTGGAGATGGTTTCTTGCTTGTAAGAACACTTATTTTGACAGTCTTCTTGAGGGAAAACTCGTAATCCACCATATGGTATTGTCTTTCTACATTCTTTTTGTAATTAGTGTTAACAATTAATCCTAACACTAATGACAACACACCACATGACATTGTCTTTCTACATTCTTTTTGTGATTTCTTCAATCCATCCATTAAAAAAATTGAATGGTTGAATCTTATTTTGACATTCAAATTGATGACTTTTTATAAAAAATTTATTTGGTGACATTTTCCTTAAAATGGTTATATATTTTGTTGTATGTGTTGTTTAAAAATGTAATATTATATAAATATTAAAAACATATGATCTAATAAAATAACATGATTTATTATTCTAACAACTCGAGCGATTTTGCAAATAACCTTTTACAGTTTGGATATTATGTTTGACTAATTCCTAGAGAGAGAGTTAGGTGAATATACCTATTTTACCAGAAAATTAAATATATAGAAAAAGAAGATTAAAAATAATAATGTTAATAATTTAGCTAGTTATTAGGTGGTTAGCTCGTACATACATGTAATCATGAAGTATTTAATTAAAACTAAATTATATATAATATTTAAATTTATCATTTATAATAAATAGATAATTGACTTGCACAGATGAATAATATATAAATATAAATTAATTTTGCATAATCGATAAAGTTTATGATTATTGTTTGCGAAACTTATATGTATTTGATCGGGAGTAAATTATGAATAACTTACATGGTGTTCGTTTATTCGGGTTGAGGATTTGCACCTCTAAAATTTGTTTTTTGAGGAATAAATAGTATGTGGTTTTTAGGTAAAAGTCAGACCGATGTATTCTCCTATGTAGAAGAAAAATAAATCTTGTCGAAAATAATTTATCTTAAAAAATTTGGATTCAAGACTAAAACTGTTGGATCTATCCTATTATTGTATAGCTCGGTTTCTTTCTTGTTTCACAAACTCAAAACAATCAATTTGTTACGGTTAACAAAACATCTAATGGATCATTCTTGATAAATGTTCAATTCATACCATGATATTTACAAGTCATGCCATTGCATTTATTAGAGACTTTCATGATTTCATTAATTAAGGATAATAAAAACAATTGTATTACAAGTATAATTTTGATAATATAATAAAAGAAAAACACAAATTTAAATTAACCTTAATAAGATCTTAGAAATTCCTTAATAATAAGAAATCAATTAAAAGTGTTTATAAAAACTCGAAAATCATAATTAAAATAAATAATATCAATATTTTTTAAAGATTCGAATTTATGTAAATAACTAACCGAATATCACATAAGTTCATATATAGATTATATTCAATAATTTATTATTTCTAAGATATAGTGCGAATATACTCTATTTCTATCAGATATAATTCAGATTTTGTGAAAGTAAAAATCCATCATGCTTGGATGACCAATTCTGCAAAATCATTGGAATTGGTTTTAGCAGATGATACTATAAGTTTTAATATTTATAATTGCAATGTTTAGTTAATTTTTCTGTTCGTAACACAAGATACATACATTAAACTAAAAGAAAAATGAAATTAATTTATGCTTATTTAGATACAAACATGAAGAGTCTCGGAGACAAACATCTTGATGTCCCCACACGACTAAAGCAAATCATTTGAGGAAGAAATGGAAAAGTGAAGAAGCATCTCCAAAGGGTACAAATGAAGTCTTCAGGAGAGTTAAGACAAGTCTCTTAAATCATTGAAGCACTGTTTCGAGAGTCATTAAAACAATACCATGTGAGTTCCTTTGACAAGACGTTTGATATTTTTCAGATCGTCCAATTCATGTTTATTTATAATCATTGACTTTATAGATATGTAGTTATTTTCAAACGTTTGTAGAAAGCTGAAGGATTAGCCTGTTTGGTGCTTTTTTCTACTAGGATCTATAACGAGTTAAAGGTATGTTTCCGTTTTAGTATGGAGTTAAGAGTGATGATTCTGTGTTTTTCAAAACAATATAATTTTGATTGTTAGATGATTTTTGAGGCGTAGCACCCAAAACTCTCTTATTCCTTTAAAACAATATACCAGAACGCATGTTTGCACTATAACAAGTGGTGATCGATAGATCTCTCTTATTCCTTCAAACTGACATATTTTTCTATGGAAATTATGTTACTTTCTTTATCCTTTGCATACATATAAATATTATTTATGGAGTATTTTCAGAGTACATGGAAGAGTACGTTCATATTGTAAAATTGTTGGCGAAATCAAGTACATTCAGAATTCAATTAAGAAGATCCATATTGTAAAAATGTTGTTGACTAAGAATGTTAATTTGGACTACGTTGATTGTGGTAGGTTTGCACTCTTTCATGAGAGCTTAGGGTTTTAGGGCAGACGTGAGCTACGTAGCTCATTTTGAACCAACCACAGAGGAAAGGGATCCCGCGATCGTCTCTAGCTAAGAACCAAAATGTTGTGTTAGCCGACGAACTGGTCATAGCCAATTCTTTTAAGCTGGGTGAACCACTCAAATTGTGATCACAATGGATAACCAGACCTTCGTAAAGAAAGTGCTCTATTGGTTCAAAACTTATCCGATATCTGATATTTGAAATTAAATTTGAGTCTTTTTGTTACTTGCTAGAACCTAAATCGAGTAAATAAGAGAAAATTCTATTTTGTTAATCTGGGTAGAAATTTTTAACTAATTGATTTATATTGTTACTTAATTTGTTATTTCGAAATATCGAAATGTAAGTGTGTTTATTAGGTTGGGTGTTTGCTTTATTTTAAGTATTGTGGGTTATGTTATGTGCAGAGAATATGTGCTAAAATTTTAAAAGCAAAAAAAAAAAAGATAGAGAATTTTAGCTATTTTTTGTGATAGAGAATTTTTAATAGGACTTTAGTGATAAATCATAATCAAATCAGATGAGTTCTTTTTCCACAAAAAAAAATATTATAGAAAAAAGATATATCAGAAATATTAGAAAACAAAAGTTTAACTTACCAATATATTATGAGTCAATAGTAATATTTGATCTTTTCTAGATTACTAATATTTAGCTCCGACATGTATAAGTAACTTCTGCATTAATTTCAACATATTAATACTTCTTTTTTCTGTAATTGGATTATTTGTACATAAACCATAATAAAAGAAAACTTATCTTTATCACCGAATTTGCTGCATATCCCTTTAGTATAGTTCCTCGAACAAACGTCCTCATTGTAATATAAAGATGAAAACATATAATTAATTTATTGCTGAACATTTTGGAAAACGTAAATATTATAGATAATTATAAGGTTTCAGGAAAAGATGATACAAATATACTGTCATATTATTTCATTAGTTTTATTTTGGCTAATTGATTCGGAGAAATTTAACATCTGTTTAAAATGCAAATAGGAGATTTAGGTCAATTATAGACGAAATAAACGTTATTCTACTTAAAATTAATTATTTTTTGTTTTTATTGCAAATATGCGTAGTCGTCACAGAATTAAAAAAACGAAACTATTAGACCTTCCTTTTTATCATATTACTCAGTTTTTTGATGAATCGCCGACTATTCGTAACGCACCTAGATCTTTACTTAGATCATCTGAGAAATAAAAGCTTTTGTCATAAACTTCTTTAGATCACTAAAAACCATATATCATCATTTCAGGAAGATCGTTAAGCAGAAAAACAAGATGGAAATTTTGGTGACTAAATCGAATTGTTAGAGATTTGATTGAGAGAAAACTTTCCTAATTTTGGAAAGAAAAAAATCATTTTGTTGTCTAAAGGAAAAGTAATCATTTTTGAGCTAAATCAAATCAAATTTTTTTGGCTCATAATTTTGGATTTAACAACATGACCCGAAATTTGTTGTGGCCTAAT